AGGAATGCCTGTCTCCTTATTCTCTGTCTATAGAGATATTTCGGTATAAATGACTTTTATCACACTGTGAAATAATTAATTTTTGCTTCTTCAACTAAACTATGCATTTCAATTAACAGTGAACTCTTGAAAGAGGAAAAATTTACTGGAATAGTATTTGTGTAACCCTTTGCATAGTAATCAACTCACGCAGACAATTCAACAAATGCTTATGAACAAACATTTATAAATAGAAGGGTCTCACACTCCACCCCTGAACTATTATATTTTAGGGTTATATGCAATTAGATGACAGAACCAGTTCTGAAAGTCTCTCCAACTGTGTTCTGTGAATGATACTACAGGGGTTCAAAGATGTAAATCTTAAACATACCCAGATAATTTTGTTAAGAGTTAAACTCAAAAACCTTTCCCTTAGCAATAATTTAAACTGCAGCTGTCGGTAATGTATTATCAGTAACACACCATACATCTGTCTTAAAGTTGGCTCCAAAGGTATAAGGGAAGACAATTTTGAGCTTTTAGTAAAAATGGCTGTTATCTTTAAAGATGTCTACTTAGTAAACATTTATTTATTCTGAAAGATACAATTTAAAATACTTATTAAAATAAAAGGGGTCAGCAGTGGCATGGTGGGTAAGGTGCTGGACTCCCACATCACTGACTATGGTTCAGATTCCGCACCTGGCAGTTTGCTCGCTCTCGCTCTCACTCTCTCTTGCGCTCTCTCTCTCTCTCTCTCTCTCTCTCTCTCTGGTGGGCACATGTGCCCTATAGCAAATTGGAAAAGGATGATAAATAAAATTAAATAACTATTTAAAGTAAAATTAAAGTAAAACTTACTTATTTAAAAAATTAAAAGTATGTTTTACAAACATACAAATAAAATCACAAATTCCTTACCAGTTCATCTATATGCTGGGATGCACTGGATATTTTTTTCCTCCTGGTCCTCAAAGCAGGAGGTGAGGAGATAAATTGAGAAGATAAATCTGAAACTAATTCTTTCAGCTGTGCAGGAGTCTCTATTTTTTCAGCTAAAGAAAAGTTGAAACAAATATCATTAGAAAGGTACAAATATACCCAATTCTGGAAAACACTGCTATCCTAACTTACGCTACCCATGTTAGCAAAGAGAAATGATAGGAAAGGGCTAGCTCCATGGCCTGGTGATTATGGCTAATGCTGCAGTTCCAGACTTGTAGACCTCAGAAATACATCATGTACATGGGCATGCCTGGCCCTAATCCGCACAGGGTGTGGAAACAGAGAACAGAGTTTTGGCATGGCCATTCCCTGGTCTTTCTCTGGACAGTGCACACATCCCCTGCCCAAGAAAAAAAATAAAAAGACAAATCCCAACATAATTTGGGTAAGCCAGATGTTTGGGAAAAATTAATGCCTCAACTAACACTATAGTATTAAATAACAGGACTTAAATATAGGTATAAGTCCGAATTATTCCATTAATTTTTAATCTTTATGATTTCTCCAACATTTTGGGAAAAGAAAGCATTAATTCCACATATAACCTTAGCTCATTTGTGTCTTAATTCCTACTATTGCAGAGAAGAGGTTTCATTTACAAAGCAAATTTTTATTTAGAAATTAATTTTATTTCCAAAGAAAAGATGCAAGTCTTTTTATTAGCTAGCTCATTCTTGGCTACTTGGGAAGTTTATGTCACAAATGGAGAAGTAAAGAAAAGTAAATATATATATATAGATAGATAGATAGATATAGATATTCCATAAATACATTCCATAAATACATAGAAATGGTTTAATTAAGAATTTATTAAAAATACATAATAAAAAACATTTCTCACACAGGCTGGATGATCTCAGATTTGTCCCCGTTTCTACAGTGGGGTTTCCATACTATTGACAATCATCCATGTAACTATGGAAGTAGCGGATTGTAGTCTCACCAGTCTACCAGAGATTAAATCTCAGCCTTTGGACTTACCATCCGTGAGACTAAAGGCAAGTTACTTAAACCCCGCTGTGCCTCAGGTTCTCAAAGTTGTCGCAAGGATTCAGGGATTAGAATAGTGGGTGGAATATGCTAAATGCCTTATAGATGTTTTCTTGTGATGTTATATATATTTCTTATGGTGTTATATATAATTGACAAACTCTTGTGGATCTAAGTCATATGCGACAGTACTTAGGTTTTTTTTTTTTTTTTTTTTTTTTTTAAAAAAAAAAATTTTTTTTTTTTTTTAAAAAAACAAACACTGATTCTATTGGGGGAGAAATCAAAATTAAAAGTAACTTAGAAGGGCAGAAATGAGAGAAATTACACTATTTAAAAAAATAAAACCTATGTCGAATGAATTATATAGGACTTAAAAACTGAAACATTAAATAATTTAACATTTAAAGATCAATTTTTCCTTTTAAGTATAGGAGTATTCCCTGTAATGACAAATAATTTTTAGGACAAATAATCTATTATTGCTTTAAAATAAATAGTGTTATGAAACAATTAAAATCTAAGCTCACGCCTCTTAATGAGATTAAAAAAAAAAAAAAACTATGAAGAGAAATAAAAGTACCTTTTACTTTTCTTGAAACTTTTGATGCAGGAGGAGAAAGTAAAGGCTCGTTTTTTGGTTCAGAAAAGTCCGACAAGATGGCCTTGCTAGATCTTGTCCTTGTGCTACGGGAAGATTTCCCACTAGCAGTTGTGGCAAGCAATCTTTCTTCATGGCCATGTGGCCCTTCGTGTGTCATTTCATCTATGTGCTCTTCTGATATTGAGCGTAATGAACGTTTTTGGCTTTGATTTTCAGTCTTCTTTGTAAGCTTTTTCTTAGAGCTCATCACCACATCAAGCTCCTCATTTGGCACTAAGACAAATTTCTCTAACACTGGTTTTCCAACATCAACATTTTCACTTTTAGCTGGGGTGTTTCTTGTAGATCTCCTTTGGATGCTGAGAACTTCTGTCTTGAGACATGTCTCTTCCTTAATAGGCTTAGATCCTACGACTTCAGATGGATTTATTTTTCTTGGTCGACCTCGTTTCCTAGGTGTGGCAGGCATATCAAATTCTGCCTGAAGAGGCAACTGGGATGAATCAAGTTTAGGGTCTTCTACCACATCCCTTGTGCTAATTTCTCTCTCTCTGACTCTTCTACTGCGCTGAATAGGCAACGGCTGGTCACCAGATTTCTCATCTTTCTGTTGTATATTTTCAGAAGCTTCTAAATTAGTACTTCTCAATTTCCTGATACCTCTGCTAGGACTCACTTCTTTAATAACTTTTAGATTATTTACAATCTCAACACTTTCCTGATTTTCTACAGGTTTTTTCATTCTTTTAGGAGTCCTTTTTGTAGCAGATGAAAGCTTAACTTCTTTTCTGAAAGAGGTTTCTTCAGTTGCTGGTTCCAACAGCTGAGATGATTTTAACATTTTTAATTTCTTACCTGTACTAGCCTGTGGTTCCTGTTCCACAGAATCAATGCTTTCTAATGTATCTTGATTAATTTCTTTTCTTCTCCTTCCTCTCCTTGGAGTAATAGAATTTTGAGGTATTTGCTGGTTCTGAGATACTCCTTTCTTATCAGAATAGGCACTTTCTGAAGCCTCAGAAGTTTCTTTTGTTTTCCTCGTTTTCTTCATAGCTGACAGCCTCGGTGTCTTAGGAGTAGCAACATCTTCTGACTTCTCCTGTTGTGCTGACTTGATATTCAGGTTTTGGATGCGTTGTCCTCTCGTGCGAGTTCTGGAGGAAACCGTGTCATCAACTTGGCTGACATTTATAGTCACTGTATTTGTTTCCTGAATGGTCTTAAATGGGGATTTGACTAAGTTGGTAGAAGATATTACTTTTTGACTTATTAAAGGTATGTTTTCATTAATAGACTGTTCCATTGCATCTGCAGTAATTTCCTTACTTCTTGTGTCTTTAATTACATCTAATAAATTTTCTGCAATGGCTACTTTAATCGGTTCAGGCACATACGGTAAAGTCTCTACCTTTTTGGACTCTTGATCGCTGGTTATGATAGATGGCAAATTTGCAACATGTCCATGATCACCATTTTCTCGAATGTATACAAGTTTTTCCTCAGTTGTTGTGTTAGCTACTTTAGGTAACACATTCGATGGTGCAGAATCACCTGTCTCGATTTCTCCTTCTTCACCCTCTAATATCAAGGTAAAGTTGCTCTGAGCCACAAAAAGTTCCCCATCTACTTCTGCAATGTCACACTCAGCAGAGTCTTTATTATCAGGCAAGTCACAAAACTGTTGCTCAATGGTATCAAAATTATATTGAAGCTTAAGAGTTCCTGAGGGATACAACTCATTAAATGAAATATTCCTAGCCTGTTCTCCTGAATCTTGAGTTTCAAGCTTTTCACGTCCGGTTACCTAAAATGAATGAAAGAGACTGGTTAAATAATTTTAATACATATTTTCATTAAAAACACAAAGGTTTTTAAAGACCATCTCACCCTTGGTGTGTGCATTTTTAAGCATAAACTCTATCTGACATGGCATATATTTATGGGTTTACTTTATAAAAGACCATTTAAGCAATTAGACTTTCTCAATCAAAATAACTAGATAGAAAAGATTTTGATTATGACTGGAATTAAACTAGAAATTCTACATTTCCCTGGCTAAAAAGACAGTCTTAACAAAATCTTAAAAATTATTATAATCTACCAACTGTGAGAATTAAGGACTTATTCTGTTCTCATCCAAGAAAAAATTAATGGAAAAAAAGACACAACCCCCAAATTGTGTTTTAATGATAATCCCCAAATTCCTAACTCTCCACACTTTTCTAAATAGCATGATCCCCATAAGGATGAAGAACAAGTCACCTACATAAGCTCCCTTGGGCTAGACTCAATCCTCTTCCCTTTGCTGGGGCTGCATAAACCATGAAATTCCTAAGGCTTTCAAGTTCAGTACCTCTCCTGCAAGGGTTTGGTGGAAGAAGGAATGGTCCTTGCATTTACCTTTTGGTAAGGGAAGGGGAGAAAAAGGAGGAGGCAGAAAGTAACAGAGAGATCGCCTGACCAAGAAGGTAGAACATTACCACCCACCTAGACAATGACATTTTCCCATTCCCAAACATTCAGTGAGACTACAGATTGGAAATAAACTAGAAATGAGGATTTCCATGTATACCCACAACTTTGATAGCTCCCCACCTAAAGGAAAAGCAACTTTATCCAGCTATTTCATGAAGGTATCAATAACTATGACCTTTTTTTGAGTTATGAGAGTCCTCAAATTGTATACAATCAAGTTCCTATAAATAACTTGAAAAGTTCATTTTTCATCTTTAAGTATCACCTATCATATAGAAGTTGATGAGATTTGGCTGACTTTTACAAATCGTAATCACACCAAGTACACACACATATAAAAACCCTTCAATGAGTATACAGAAGTTCAACACCAGTCAGCTAAGTATCATCCTCCCACACATATACACAGGAGGGGAAGTTCTGTTTAGCTATATCCACTAGTTTCAAATATAGCTCTGTGTTGAATGACTGGGACGTGTTGAGAAGTGTGCTGTCGTTGTGTGAACAATGGAGTGTACTTGCACTCCAGACTGTGCAGCCTACCACACGGATATAAACAGCCTGCCTGCTGGGGCTATCGTTTATATCTCAGTCTTATATGTAGTCTGTGGTTGAACAAAATGTGTTATGCAATTCATGACCGTATATACTCTGAGTAGTCATATACAGTCATACTTGTCTCTGGAGAAGTCACTTATGTGTTCTTACAGATAGAATAAATAACTTTTCACTTGAACCAGAGAATAAGCAAAAATTAAATTGCTGAAATTGTGGCATTTTTAACATAGCCTTTTGGTTTTCATGAAAACCAATTTCTTAAAGGATGTATTCTTTTTATCATCTATCAAATATTTATATACTTGGTTTTTCAACCCAAGAGTTTTATAGAGGTTTTTTTAAATATGGTAGTCAACAAAATCAACATATTAAGTTTGAACTACTATGTCTTGAAACCTAACTAAACCAAAACTAAAAGACTGACAAAGAATAAAGAAAATGTTTTACATGAATTTCTTGAGTATCGGGAGGACTGTCAGTAATTGGAGGCTTTTCTTCTGGTAAGTCCACACTTTCTTTTAGTACGTCAACTTCTACTTCATGATCTTCTTTTACGTTCAGTGCTATTTCCTGGTCAAGCCTATGTTCACAGATAATAGGACTTTCAGAGGTAGTGAGCCCTGAGCTTCCACTGTCACCAAGGACACTGGCTACAGCTGAAAGAGAAATGAAAGTTAATCTTTTACATTTTAAACTGCAAAATGTGATCTACACAGAATTAAGAATGTAAACAGAGGGGCCAGACGGTTGTCCAGTAGAGAACGTGATGCTCTGTGAGGCAGAGAGGTGTGGGAAGGTTCTGGGCTTACAACTGGAGACCCTCCTGAGGTGTGCATGTGCCCCTGATCTGGGGCTTTCCTAAGCTGAGATGAACTGAGGCATCAACCCTTCGTTGGAGGTGTCAATTCTCTGTCTCTCACTCAGAGAAGAGATATATGAATAAACTTAAAATACTAGGGACCAGCAGATGGCACAATGGTTATGTTGCTGGACTCCCAGGTAGTCAACCATGGCTTAAGTCCTGGACCTGGAGGCTTAAATCTCATGCCAGGCACGTGTGTGTGCATGCCCAAAATCCTGAGAGGAGAAGGGACTGCAGTGTGGCTATAACCCCTGGGGAGTGATTTCTTGCTTTCTGCCTGTGTCTGTGTCTGGTGAGCGCACACGCTCTATAGCAAAAAATCTCTTAAAACACAAAACAAGAAACCAGCAGATGGCCTAATGGCTACATTGCTGGACTCCCATGCAGTCAACCATGGATCAAGTCCCGGACCTGGTGGCTTAAACTCATGCAGGGAGCGTGTGTGTAAGTAAGTGCCCAAGATCCAGAGAGGAGAATGGATTGCAGTGTGGCCGTCCCCCCAGGGGGTGATTTCTCACTTTCTGTCTCTCTCTTTCTGGCGAGCGCATGTGCCCTATAGCAAAAACCTTTAAAAAACAAAAACAAAAAAGCCACAACAACGAAAAAGCAACAACGAACAGAAAAGGCTACCCTGCATTTGAGAATACTATCATAGTAAACTGTGTTACTGCCAGAAGGCATGTACACAGAGACAGAAAGGAAGAACGTACACCCCAACAGGGCATGACCATGCTGTGATGTCCTCTCCTCCATTTCGCCTTCTGGTTGGGATTTTGGGCACTCACACATAGCATGTTTTTCAAGTTGCTGTGCCAGGATTCAAACTGTGGCTGGCCATGTAGGATCTTGCTCCTTTAACTATTAGGCTATGGGGCTAGTGCCAAAATCTATTGTCCCAAAGGGGAAAAAAAACCTACATACACATATTAATTCTCTTTTCTCAGTATCTGATCATCTGGTTTAGACTATACATACTTGCTTTCCAGAAAGATAAAACACAGGACTAAGAGCACACAGGTGGCATGGTGGTTAAGACACTGGATTCCACAAAGCCAACAGTGTGGCTCAGTCCTAGACCTGGTAGCTTGAAAAATACTCCAGGTGCATATGTGTGTGAGCCCAGAACCCCAAGAAGAGAATGGTGAAGGAACTGTGGTGTGGCCATCCTCCCAAGAGAGGGGTGCTTCCTTACTTTCCCTCCATCTCTCTCCAGTGAGCACATGTACCCTACAGCAAAAGTATACAAACTAAAAAAAAAAAAAAAA